GTTTTCAGGCCATGGGGAGCTGGGAACAAATGCAGGTGTGGTGGAGAATGAGATTGCTATTTAGAATAATCTTGGCAAATGGGAGACATCATCTGGAACAAATCAGGGTGTCAGTGAGCACGAAAGCAATGCACTGTGTAGGCTGGACTGCATGGGTATGTGATGGGGGAGGAAACAGGCTAAGGTGCAGTTGTGTGGAAGATGGCTTGGAATTTTTGGGTCACAAACTAAGAAGGATAATGGGGTTGCAAAGAAGTGGCTAGTCACTTCTCTCTGTTCCTTAGTCATAGGATGAGGAAGGTGAGATTTGATCATTGAGAAACTTTTTCCTTGTGCTAAGGGTGGGGAATACTAAATCAGATAGGCTGAGAAGACCAAGTCTTGACAAAAATCTTTCTGCAGTAGGTAACTATATGTGGTTCTTTGGTGGAAGGGGAAAGAATTGGGTGGTGTCTTCAGATTATAAGCCTTACACTTACATGATGTAGTACCAGTAGGTCGAGGGAGGTGATCCTGCCCCTCTGCTCCGCTCTTGTGAGACCCCACCTGGAGTACTGCGTCCAGCTCTGGGGGCCCCAGTACAGGAGAGACATGGAGCTGTTGGAGTGAGTCCAGAGGAGGGCCATGAAGCTGATCAGAGGGCTGGAGCACCTCTCCTATGAGGACAGGCTGAGAAAATTGGAGTTGTTCAGCCTGGAGAAAAGAAGGCTTTGGGGAGATCTAATCGTGGCTTACCAGTACCTGAAGGGGCCTACAGGATAGATGAAGAGGGACTGTTTATCAGGGAGTGTAGTGACAGGACAAGGGGTCATGGGTTTAAGCTGAAGGAGGGTCAATTTAGATTAGATATTAGGAAGAAATTCTTCACTGTGAGGGTGGTGAGGCACTGGCACAGGTTGCCCAGAGAGGTTGTGGATGCCCCATCTTGGGAAGGGTTCAAGGCCAGGTTGGATGAGGCTTTGGGCAACATGGTCTAGTGGAGGGTGTCCCTGCCTGCAGCAGGGGGGTTGGAACTAGATGATTTTTGAGGTCCCTTCCAACCCAAACCATTCTGTGATTCTTTGATTGTTAGTGACGTATTTCCATCATGTCTCTTACTACTGTTTTCAGATGTGAATTCCGACAAGAATGGAATGAAAGTACATGAAAACTTTGGATATTGAAAATAGAAAGTGTGTCTTGTAATTCTAGGCAGAGGGTCTGAGAGTCAGTTTATGGGCTTTTATCTGGTTTGTGGCATTTTTTGTACTGAAAAGTGTAAATCCTGTTCTTTGATGGAGCTCACTGCTTCTTATTTACATGTATTTTTAATGAGATCACAGCTGCAAGAGGTGCTTGGGAAAACTGTGGTCTTCATACAGCTGCAGGGGTAAGAGAGTGAGAGTGCACTAGGTGAGGATGTTTGTATGTGATCAAGTGAAGTCCATCTAGCTCAGTAATTGCTACAGTCAGAAGAAGGGGCTTTTGGCACAAATGTAGAATAATAGTTCCTGTCCTGCTTTTGCAGTTTAGAGACATCTTGAGATGGAAGTTCTGCTGTTCAACAGATCTGTTTTTTTCATGAATTTTTATAAGAATTTTTGAACCTGTTTGTTTCTTGGTCTCAAAAATGTTTTTAGGTGTTGAGTTCTCTCATTTAATTATTTACTAGGCAAATAAGTACTTAAGAGCAACTTTTTAAAATTGCATTTGATATTCCCATGTTGTTCTGGGAAACACTTCAGGCATCTCACATACCTTCTCACTTTGTGGTATCATGATTTTTTTTTTTTTTTTTGTACTTTGGTCTGACACCCCATCATACTTACCTGTTTTGTGAGCTAAAAAATTCTTTTCACTTTCTTTGTGCAGAAGCTGCTCCATTCTCTGATCAACATCACTTGTACTTTTTTGATTGTTTGCATTCTTCATGAGACAGAATAATTTGAAGGTATAGGAACACCATGAATGTTACCAGCATCACAAGAATATGTTATGTTCTCTCTTCCCTTCATTTAAAAAGAAGTCTGTTATTCTGGATGGTTCCTAACCTGACCACTTCAAAGCACTGAACAAATGTTTTTGAAGATACATGTTCAGAGCCTACCAGACCTTTTTCTGGTAGTGGCATTAAATAACTTAGAGTTCTCTCTCTCAGAGTGTTACATTGCATTTACTGACCTGTGACTTCATCTGCTGTTTTATATGCTTGTTGCTCAGTATTCTGGGGTGGTTCTGCAAATTTTTTAATGATGTGTCAGTTTTGATTGCTCATAATAATTTTGTATAATTTGCAAATTTAAGCACAGATTATATGTGAAATGACAGATATGGCAGGTGACTTTGGCTGCTGTTCAGAACAGTCCTACTACAGGTTCTGGTGAGGCTTCTGACTCTCTCTCCTGTAAATCTTGTCTCTTAAATCTTACCCTGCAAGGTCTTCACTTCTGTAACAGCTTCCTATGAGAGACATCAGCAGAAACACGTCCACTACCACTTCCAACACCTTTATCCACAGGATCCTTGACTCCTTCAAAGAATTCTTCAAGTTGTGGAGCATGACTTTCCTCTACAAAAGCTACATTGGATTTTTTTTCCTCCTGATTATTCCAGTCCACAAATGTTTTTAACCACCTTGACCGGTGTGGAAGTCAGACTGTCTTTGTTTTGCTTCTCCTGGTTGCCTTGTCAAGCTCTGAAAAAATTTGATATATTTTCCACTCTCCATTCCTCTTGGTTCACCTTAAGCCTAAGTTTTTGCAGAATTAATAGTTTGGCAATGTCGTATTTGATGCTTTAAAACTTCAGCTGAATAATACCTGATTTTGGTGAATTCTTACTATTAATTTGATATTTTTAAATGCTTCTCTGATGCTTCGTTTTGAGCCAATGCCTTATATATCCCCAGTCTAAAATGGATCTGGTGTAGGATTGGCTTTCACTGTCTTGGCAGTAATTTCAGAAAACAACAGATCATCTAGGTTTTCTGCTCTATCCATATCTTATTGTATTTAATTTTTTTTATAACTTTGTTATCTAGTCATTTATTGCATTGATGTAGCAAGCTGTCTCTAACTATCAGATTCTACTGTGTTTGAGCTCAGAAATAGCAACAGGAATTTTGTAACGTTTTGTTTGTCTCTTACAGATGGCTGTGTAATTCACTGGCAAGCTTTCATTATACTTCCATGTATTAGCTGGTATACACGTATCAGTAAGACGAGTATTGGACCTGTAGTACCAATTTTAAATTCTACTGACGACCTGTATACAGGTGAAAATATGCACATAGATAAAAAATTAGTAGTAATTGGAATTCTGAAGAATAGTTGGGTGGGTATTTTATTTTTATATTGAGAAACAAAATTTTCCATTCTAACATATGTGATAGAGTAGTTCTTTAAAAAAAAAAAGTTGTGCTTTTTGGCTGCGTGCAGAGAACAGAAGATAGAGCTTGTCTGTGTTTAAGTGGCTCCAGTCTGTTGTTCCATTTAATAAATGAAATTTTCAGAAGGGGTTCATTATACCACATGCAGATCTTTAACATCTACTTGAAATCTGGATGTGCCCAGTTGGTGGTGGTAGCATGTTTTACTTTCCCATTCGAACCAGGAAAGGGGTTGAAAGTAATGTTCCTGTCCAGTGATATTCTTGTGTTTCCAACTCGTTTGTCTTTGTGATAGGAGGACTGGAGCCAAATTTACTATAATGTTTTCCTCTTCCTTTTAATTTTTTGCTGGTGAAGACTTTCTCTTGGGCTTTGCAACTTTGCAGCAAGTATTTTTGTATCTGTTACTAAAAGTGTGGTGAATTTTGTAATGCTTCTAGCTTGCTGCATGTTTTTTTCTCCTTTTGTATCTGGTTGCATAGTTGCTGTTTCTTTGCAGTGGCTGAATGTAAGCATCACTTACAGTCTCTTCTATTTTTGGTCATGCAGAATGGAAGTTTTGTATTCATATTAGGCAGCACTTTGTTTCTAGAAGGTCACCAAGTAACCAGAAAGGAATACTAAATAATGTCTGTTTGAGTATGAACTAAAACTATCCCTTCGTAAGATTTTATGTGTCCATGGTTAGTGCTCTGTTTTAAATAATAGAGATATGCAAAATAGTTCTCTTTTCTTTACCCTTACACACTATGTCTGCCTTTCAGTTTTGCTTAATATGTCTTTACTTACAATTGCTAAACCAATACTGAATGTCTCATCTAAAGATTTAACTTTACATGAAATATTCTGGTATGAGGTTGTGAGTAAACATTTAACATTGGTCCAGATGCAGCTTGCATAGCATACCTTGGACTTGTAAGCTATATGCAAAGCCTGTTTCTCAATTTTTTTTTAAAATTTATTTTATGTACTTTTTTCTTAATGTAAAACCTCAGCGATCCAGTTGCAACTTGTGTTGCAGTTGCTTCACCTAGATTGCAGTCCAGAGCTACAGCTTGAAATTTTAGTGCTGCAGTTGTCTTAACTTTCAGACCTCTTACTATTGTAGATATTGGAGTAATTAGAGCCATATAAGAAATTTCTCCGCCTTGTTTGGTCCCTTTCCTATGTTGCCACTTGTTTTCTTAGAGTGAAAATACCCCTACTAAGTTTGTCTTTCATATAACGAATTCTGATCTTCCGTGTTTCCATTTTCCTTGTTAATGGGGTTCCTTCTTGTTTTGTCAAGGGCATCAAAAATAAATGAAATGATCTCATTTTCTGTCTACAATACACTGTGTCATAAGAAATTCCAAGAATTTAAAAAAAAAATCTTCGGTTATACATGCAGAGACAAAACTGTTTCTTCACTCAAAATTGTGTGTATGAAGTGATAGCATACTACTAATTGGAGTCATCTGAGAACTCTACTCTTTTGGTTTTCTTGAACTCTGTATCTTTTAAAAAAAAATGTCTGCTGGTGATAATCTGATAATGCCAAACAGCTTGTCTAAGTTTAAGTTTTGCAATGTATTTTAAAATGCTGAAGTGATAAAAAAAAGTTTGATCTTTTTGTCTTTCACAGAGTCCCCAGAAAAGAAAAGTTATTTCAGGAAGTGAAAATCAGAAGTAGCTGCTGACATAAAAAGAAGTGTACTAAGGATCATTTCTTGAGGAAAATTTTTTAAGGTATGTAAGGTATGTTTTGCAGAAAGGCCCTCCTGAAAATAAGCTGCCTGTTTTGTCTTGAGTGGACTAATATTTCAGACCAGTTTTGAAACGATCAGGCTAGCTTTAAATTACCACTTTGTATGTTTATTGATGGCAGTAGCTCTGTGGAAGCATTAATTCAGCTAGTTCGTGTTCCATACATTTTGCATTAAATGCATGTATAGATAATACTCTTAATATGTGGTTAGTATAAATAAAGGTAGGTAAAGCATGTGTTTTATGTTTCATGATCTTGAACATTCCAGGAGTAGGTACTACACTAACAGAAATGTCAGGTATTTAACAGTCTAAGTTTTATTTAAGGTGTGGATGGAGGGCTAAGAATGATTTATTTCATTGTTTTAATGGATTATAACTACCGTAAGCCTCACATTCAGAAATTAAGATGGACTGTGTAACAAATTGATCACCTGTTATAAAATTGCTTTTAAGTCAGTAGAGAAGCCTTGAATTTAAGGATTTGTATCCTGAATCCAAGTCCTCTTCCTTTTCTGATTTTGCGGTATTCTTAATGCTTCTAGAAAGGGTCTGCAAAATATAAGCCATGCTAAGTGATTTGGAGCCCGTGCAGATTTAGGAGCAAGGGAGTTGACAGCAGATCGGGAGTGAGAGTGATGCTCCCTGCATACCATGCCCATTCCGTATTCCTCCTCCTGGGGGGGGGCAGATATGTGCTGTGCTCTTCTGTTCTGAATTCAACTGCTGCTGTTTTGTGGTTTACCTTGTCACTGATATTATGAAACCACAAGTTCCAACTGAAGCATATGGATTCATCATTATTTTAAGATTAGCAATCACAGTCTTGGGTGTATTTCATGGCAATATATAACAGAAGGCACCAGTTGTTTTAAGGGTAGGAGAGCATCCTGGGAAAGTATCTCTATGTATGTGCTCTGTTCTTCCTTGCTCATTTGATTGCAGTCATTGTCAGACACACAGGACCTTTGATCTGCCACAGTATGGCCACTCTCATGTGTCAGGGACAGATTGCAATCTTTAAATTAAATGTAGGTTGGCTATAAAAACTACTTTCTTCAGAGTTGTTCTGGAATCCAGGAGGACTCCTAATGCTGGAATATTGGCTTTATTTGCTGAGGGGAGTGTTACAGTATTGAAAGTTTATGTGACTGTCACTGAAGTTTCTCACTGTCATGCTAACAAAGTTTGACATTGCTTCATTTGCAATCTGACTGCACTGCTGTGATGGTTGTGGTTGAGACAAGTCATAAACTGTCTTCGGTAACTGTTCTTAAATTTAGAACTCTTCAAGGTCTGGTTGCTCATTTACAGTATATTATTGAATGTATATTGAGTATTTACTTCCTGTCAGTGATTAGTTTGCTATTTTGAGAGTGACTCTAAAAAGAAAGTCTTACTTTCTTGGAATTGGTTCTGAGACATATTTTAACTCTTACAACTTACCAAATACTGATTGGCTAATTTGGATATCCAGTAATTTTTATAGTAACATATCTCTCTCTCACGCACACTTCAAAGTAATAAAATAAAACTCATTTGTCCTATTTGATACTACGGGGATTTTATTACTTTTACAAAACATGCTAGGATTCACTTTGAGACTTTGCTGGCATGTCAAATTATGCAAGCATTGTTGATGTGTGGAAAAAGAGATAAACCTCATGGGTATCTGCCAGAATAGGAAGTATCTCTTCACATAAGAGTAAGCAATTCCCAAAGGGTTTTTTTTCTGTATGAATTTAGCATATCATGTGTTCATTGTCATCAATTCTGTATCTAGCTACTTTAAAATGTGATGCCATCTGTTTTTTTCCTTCAATATAAAATATTCTCCTGTGTTTTACTGAGAAAGATTTTTTGTTTTCCCCTTAATATCTTTCACACTATATTTTTATCTTTTCAACATTGAAGTAGAAAGTATGTTTGTATCTCAAACTCCCTGTACCTCCTACTAGTTCCACAGTAAATCTTTTCTGGGTTCAGATTTTGTTGCACTACTCAGTTTCGGCAGTAGTCTGTGGTTGCAAAGTCTGGGTGGGAATCTATCTTTGTCTTACATGCTCAGTATGAACATTGTAATGTTGTATGGTAAAGCCAAAAAATGGCACTATTAGTATTTCTTCTGTACTCCAGTAGCTGTGAACATAGGGAAGCACAAGGAGGATATTGCCACAAATAGCAGCCCAACTTGTTCGCTGTCCTTAAACTGCATCTCCTGGTGCCATGGTAGGAGACAGAGTGCTGATCTACATGGGTCATTATGCCCAGGTGGTCGTTGTAGGTCTCTTCCAGCTGAAATGCTCTGTTCTACTGGTCTGACCCTGTAGGGCAGCTGTCAACTCATCTGTGTGCACTAAGAAGGGAGATATCAAACTTGGAAAAATACCTGTGTGCATTGGTGCCAGATATTGTCTCTTTGAATGTAGGCATTTTTAAATGTGCTTGTGCTTTTTAAAAGTGTTTGAAATACAGATTGCATAGAACGTGTTTATTCATGTGTTCAGTAATTCTTCCATTTTGACTTCGAGTAAGTGACTGTGTGGTCTATAGTGTTTTCAGGTGTTTAAAAGTGTTAAAAAATTAGAAGTGGTTTTAAGAGTCTTGGGTTTTAGCTTATCAACAGTTAAGTGGCTTAGGTCTTGTATACTTGTTCACCACTTCTTTACCTCCACAATATTGGAGCATTTGAGTTCCTGAATGTCTTGATTGAACATTTTCTTAATTTATAAGGAAGGCGTATGGAGGCTGGCTTACCCAGTTGGGAATCATAAGCTCTGAGACTTTATGCTTGTTAGTGTTACTGAATCAGATTTTATCACTTTTGCAAAATGCATTTTTGCTGTGCTGCTTCTGCCATGGTAAATGGAATAATTTAAAACAAAGACCACAGTCCAGTATGTGTATGATTTTTGTCGATGTACCCAGGTATCTAGTAGTGTAATTGGAAAAAATCTAATTACTACTTACTGAAGGGAGGCTTGGGAGGCTGGAGTGAGTTGTTGTTGGATCTTCTGTTCTGTTGATTTTTGTAATCTTATGGCTCTACAGTGAGTCAGTAAAAGTAGACTGAAATATCATAGAATCATAGAATGGTTTGGGTTGGAAGGGACCTCAAAGATCATCTAGTTCCAGCCCCCCTGCTGTGGGCAGGGACACCCTCCACTAGAGGGTGTCATATCATATGCTGCGAATATTTCCTCCCTCCCTTGCCTTCCTGTGTCTCCGTAAAAGACAGGTAAACGCAAACAAGCCAGCACTTTACTCATAGCACAAGGCCAGAATTCATCCTGAGATTCTATTTCTTCTTAATCTCGAATGTAAGAAAATAGAGATACTATCTTTTCTCATAGCTAATATGCTAGGATATTTAGGTAATGTGCTAAAATGTGCCAGGACTAAAATGAACTTGGTCACAAAAGTGGATATAGGTCTAAAGGGTGTTGAAAAATCACAAGTGCAGATCCAGTCATATTAATAAGTAGGTGCTTTAAGGTTTTTTCTTTTGCTTATTTTACTAAAATATTACTGGTTTTGCAAGACTGTTCTTAAATTTTAACTGTGAAAATGTTACCATTAATAGAACTACTAATGACATCATCCATCATTTATAAATACAGCCACCATTAATTATTTACCGTTGCTCTTTATGACTGAGCTCCTAGCCATCAGCAAGACTTCTGACTAAAATACACAGCTTCAAATTAAAGACCATATGAAAGCTTGCAATAGATTTCAGGTTACTTGTACAACCTTGACTTTTTTCTATTCTATAGATGCATTATAACACAGGACTATTCTTATTTTCTTTGTTTCTTTCATTACATAGCATGGTTTGTGTTCTGAGAATAAACACATAGTGGATGAGGCTTATTTCCGTAACTTCCTGGAAGAGCTAACGGAGGCAAGGAACTGCAGGAAGAGAGGAACGATCCTGAGACTCAGGCTACCGTGGAGATCGCTCTAGGTTCTGATTTCCAAAATCTTAAATTTTATGTGGTAACTGAAACCAATAACATCTTTTTTTTTCTCTATATTTAATATGCTAAAAATGCTAGGCACTCTGAAAAGTCTGTTTTTAAGCCTTGTACATACCAGTATTAGCCAGTATAATGTTGACATTAGTTTATGTGTCTCTGTTCTTAGTGTAAAATAAGATTATTAGTCTCATTTTGCCCCATGGGCCGTTAGGAAGATAAGTCTGTTAATGTTTGTAAAACACTCTGGTAATTTAAGTGGCAATTTAAAGCCTGTGAAGAAATTGGTACTTCTGTGTTCAGAAGAGCTAAGAGTTGGCTGGAGTGCAGGAATTAGTGAATAAGCAGTACACAGGTTGTGTCTGCACTGCAGTCCAGAGCTATAATTGCAGTTTATCTAAGTTTATCTTACCTAGTTTGAAGCTGATTCGTGTAAGAACAGCGTTTTGGTGTATACACAGGAAAGAGCATTCAGCCCACATTACAAAACCTATGCAACCTGTGGAAATTACTCGTCTGTGTGGGTTCAGGTCTTCCACGACGTGGCTGCATGTTTATCAGTATCAGATACAGGTGTTTAAAGCTAGCTCAAGCAGGTGTCTTTGACCTGCAGTTGTGTTGTAGAATTTCATAAGGCAGCACTTCTTATCTGTTTATCAAATGATACCCATTTGGTACAGTAAGACTGAGCTGCCTTAGGGGAAAATCATGTGAACTTAGGGACCCTGCCCTAATGCGTGTCCCAGGGAAGCAATGGATGGTTGCATGGGGAACTTGGTTGGGGATATTTTCTGATTTTTGGGAGGTTGAATCTGCAAGTTTAATGGCCTGCTAACACAGTGTTTAGGAGCAAACGAGCTTCAAACTAGTTATCCATTTCCTACGGATGCCATGTCTGAGAGCTGATCTTTTATTTGGATTTTTCTGTGCTCTTAGGACACTGAACACCAGAAACAAATGTTTTGGGTCACCAGGAGCGGAACGGTGTAGTTGGCAGTTCTTGTCTGGAGATATTCAGCTATACTTACTTGATTATACATGTGGATTGGTCTTTAGTATCTCTTTTGGATGCTATTATGTGTTCCCTCATAACTGCACTTTAAGTTAGGGAGATACATTTTGCAGATGGAAACTGAAGGACAGTTCTGGGCCTGAGGTCTCTTCCAGTTATAGAGGTGTGTTTGAAAGAATGCTCTGACCCTCCTTTCGGTTTGTTTTGAGGTGGTATATGTATGTGGTTAATCTTACAGTTAAGTTGTTTCAGGGTTTAGATGTTAATACTTGCTCTTTGTCATACTGGAAGTTTTTCTTTCAATACATGTCTCATAAACCTTGTTCTGCTTTCAGATGTGGTGAAGAGCCTGTATTTTCCCCTGTGTGGTATATAGTGCCTTAAAAAATGGGGTTTGGAGGTGACCTGAAGTATTCTCATGATGCTTTATTAAAACTGCAAGACTGGGAACTACGACTGCTGGAAACAGTGAAGAAATTCATGGTAATGCGAGTAAAAAGTGATAAGGAATATGCCTCCACTTTACAGAATCTTTGTAATCAAGTTGATAAAGAGAGCACTTGTCAGTTGGATTATATCAGCAACGTGTCCAAGGTAAGACTGAAGTATGTTGAATTTGGAATATCCTTGGAAATAGCAGTGCTGGATTTATTTTTGTTTGTTTGAGTTGGATTCCTTTTCATTCAGCTTCTTGAGAGTTAATGTTGCCAAAGTATTTAAAATGGGCTTCTTTCAGTTCCTCTGGGGAATATGCAGAAGTTGAGCTCCAATCTTGCTTTGAAAATAACATCTGAACAAGAATCAATTCTGAAATTCAGGATTTTAGGTTCCTGGGTTGAGCCAGCTACTTTGGTGTTTTGAAAATAGAGTATGCTATAGTAAGCTTTTCTTTTAAGACAGTTAAATAGAACCTATTGTTTATGTTATACAGAATTTGTGACATAAATAGAAAAATGCCAGGAAACAGAGGCAAAGCCTAGCATTCCAGCTGTTATTCACACTGCAGTGTGTGTTGTAAAAACAAAACGTTAATTCAGGATGTTTCTCATAATTGTGAAGTTATTTTGTATTCAATTTAACATAACTGTGTTGACTTTTTTATAAAGGTAAGGCTGTCCTTCCCCATGTCATTAATTTTCAGATTTAGAGCAAGTCCAGTAAAGGTACTGAGGAAGCAAACTTCTGTGTTTCACCTGTTTGTAACCTTCACTTGTGGCTTGGATTCCTTCCTGACTAGAGAAAACTATACTGTTCTAATGGCTTCTTCAATTCTTGGCCCTTCTGCTGTAGCAGTAGCTACACAGTCCCTTCACTCTGGCATGAATCCTGATCTCTTCTCTGCAGGAAAACACCCTTTTTGGGTCAAGTTAAATTTTAGACAAAGCAGTTTTTATGTAGTGGGCTTATGGGTTGGCTGCTGAAGTACTAGTTATGGCATAGCATTAGGAACGTTACTGCTCCTTGTGCAGCAGTCTGGATTTGTGCTGGATTAAAGTGGTGGTGTGTGTGACTTGAAAGCTGTGCTTATCTAGGTAGCCTCCTTCAGCTGCCTCAAAAGTAGCACTGTACAGTGTTTTGTCTGTAGCAAATTCTGTTGTTGCTTCCCTCTTCCACAGTAGTTCTTGTATTGTAAATTGACATACTACTTCCCCCCCCCCCATCTCTGTGTTTTGGTGGTGTATTTGAAATGCCTTTCAGCCAGTTATATTTCATATATGTAGTTTGTTATTGATTTTGCTATTAAGTTGTGATGATTTTTGTAAGTAAACATTAAAGCATTGTCATTAGCCTAAGATTGGCAGAAATAAGGTTTCTTTTCTTTCTTCAAGCTTTCTACTGTTGTATCTCAAAGTTTTGTATAGAATTATTGGTGATAGGACTAAGAATTCTTGCTATTGCTGCCCCACTAGGATTGCTCTTATGTGGTAGATAAATTGTCTTCCAATTCTTTTAGGCGGTGAAATGGAGCAGATTAGGGCTTGAACAGTAAATGAGCATTGGCATCAGAATATTTAGCATTATTATGTACCAACAACCCTTAACCTTCATGTAGCTAGCTCAGTCTAGGATGGTTCATGTCAGTGACATGGGCACTTCCTGTGAGCAAATAAATTTTAAAAAGCTGAAGATTTGACTTAAGCCATGTTCTTTTTGGGTTGAAGAGAGGCACGAGTGTCACATTAGCAAATCTTGTTTTCAAAATAGGCACTCAATTTCTTTCAGGATTATTTTTGCTTTTTTTTTCTTGCTTTTTTTTTTTTTTTTCTCTTAAGGAGGTGCCATTTTTCTTTCAAGCCCAACCGTGATCTCCACTTCTTTATGTAACAGCAAAAATGTTCATATGCTACTGACAGATCTTTTGTATCGGCTTACCTTGAAATTTCACTGTTACGTTGGATTTTAAAGTTGTGTAGTGACACATTGTTTTGTTGGTTTTGGCAGTTAAAATGTGTGAATATTGATGACTTTACACACCTCATTCTAATTTACTTTACTATGTCATGATACTTTTTCTCTCTTCCTGACATTTTGCAGAATCAAAGTATGACCCACATATTATGGGACATAAATCTAGTATCTTAGATCTCCTAAGATTTAAAATACCTGTATATTAAATTTTTGGTATTACGTGGCATCAAAGCCAAATGTCAAGCTGTCTAATTTTTTTTAATTTTTATTACTTTTTTAAGTGTATAGCAAGAGTGAGCACTTTGAGAGAAATGGTGTTAGGGAAAATCTTTCCCATGTTTTTTTCATGCAGAGGCAGCAAACTTAATGGAAGGCATAACAGCAGCAACCACTAATGCTAGAAAAGCAGTATTTTTAAGTGCTTTCCAACAGCTCTTTTGTGCGCGTATATGTCTGAAAAATACTGTTAAACCAAACAATATTATATGTTATTGCTTTTGATGGATTGTGGTTATTTTCTGTGAAAGGAAATGCTTTGCCTTTTCTGCTATCCCTACCCAGCTGCTTTTCTGTCCCATGTAAATCTCATTTTTTCAAACCTTTCCTCAAGTATAACTTTTCACTTTAGCTTTTCCTATTTTAAAATAATAAAACATAATCATATAAAACACAGAAATCTGGTTTAACCGATGCGTTCACTGTATGTTCTCTTCCTAGAGGGATGTAAAGAACAGGAAAATGTGCAAATGATTTTTTTTTTTAAATGGTAAGGGAAGTTTTTGCTATGTTTCTGACTTACCTAGGTTCATTTGCTGAATTGTAAGCTAAGTATTTCTTTAGAGTACTAGTCCTGTTGAAAAATGCTTTTGCTGTGATTTTCAGGGTTGATCGAAACAGTACTTGTCTTATCAGTAATAAATCAGCCTTAAAGAAAATAGTGAACTCTGACTACATTTTCACCTCTGAGAGCACTCTTATGAACTCTTGAATAACCGTATGACCCACTTCTCTCAGACAGATGTTTAATGATGTTTTTATCCTATGCAGTTTTGCAATATGGTTTCTGATGTCATTTGGAAACTGTTCTGTAATGGAGAGGCAAAACGGTTTTCAGCTGTAGCCGAAAAGCTTTAGGCCATGGCCTTTTACAGCACCACACTTTAAGCAGTCTGAGATAGCTCTGTGCCAGTCTGTGGGATGTTTATGATCTAAAGGAAAGGTTGAAGATGGTTTAATACATACAGGAGTTAACTGTCGTTTGTTTCTTTCTCTAGAATCCAGTTTGCATTGGAGCATTGTCATGTAGAGATGGAAATATTATGTACATATGTTTACATATGACATGTAATTAAACTGCAAAGCTACCAAGCAAATTAATTTTCTAAATTTTGATCATCAAAGGTGGATTTCTGTCTTTAGTAAAAGTAAGATAAATGCTAGTAAAACTAGCATACCAACTGCCTTAAAAACCCAGTAATTGTATGGCATTTAGCCATTCTGAAATTTTAGATACAGCGTACCCTTCAGTATTGGGTAGTTATCTCTAAGGCATCTAATACTGTTTCCATCAGCAAAGTGTGACAGGGGTCTTTAGGGTAACAAATGCTTTTATTTGAACTGAACTTTAATTTTGTGTTTTGTACATGTGGTGCATTGAAGTCTCTCTGTTCACCTTACAGGTCTTAATCGAAATTCTCTGCCACATGCAGCACATTAAACTTTCCTGAATACTAACAGAATGGCCAAGGATGTTGTGACAGTACAGAAAGATGTTAGGTTACTATGACAGACAAGTAACTGCTTGTGTCTCTTAACCTGTTAGCACCTTATGCTTTAATATGGGTGGCCTGACTGATGCTGTCAGTTATATGAAGCAGCTGACAAATGGTATCTTCTAAAGCAGTAACCACTCAAATGCATATTACTGTGAGGTATTTAGACAAGGGCAGAGAAGTCAGCTTGAACTGAGTAACTGTGGCTGGGAAACAGGAGAACAAAGGGGTGTGGGGGATGTATTCCAAAAAAAGGCTGTAAAGCTTTCATCAGTGTTTAGAAGTACTAGGACAGTGCTGAATGGTGTCCATGCAATGTTGTATTTTTGTCTCTGGTGCTTTTTTATAATTTTATGAGTAAGTTTGAGGCATGCTTTTGCTGTAGCAGGAAGAACTTTATTTTAGAAGGTCTCAAGTGCATTTGGGTAAGTTTAAAATGCTATTTTTTCTGAATTGTTTTAAACAGTAATACATCTTTTCCCACAGTTCATGTTCATTGTTTGGTTGTTTGTAGCCCAGAATAAGTAAGTGCTTTTCTGTTCTAACTTTTTTATAGTCTTGGTTGCTTGTGGTGCAGCAAACAGAACAGCTGAGCAAAATAATGAAGACACATGCAGAGGATCTTAATTCTGGGCCTTTGCATAGGCTTACAATGATGATCAAAGATAAGCAGCAAGTTAAGAAGAGTTACGTAGGTGTTCATCAACAAATTGAAGCAGAGATGTACAAGGTATTTTATTCAACTGTGCTTTATAAATTTATTATAGTTTTGTATGTTTAAAACGTAATATATTGAGAGTGGATTTTCTTGGTTCCTCTAAAAGTAGTAATTTGTGGTAAAAGTAGTGATTTGTGATATGTAGAAAGCCTAGTTTAAATTTCAATTATTTCCTCCACATTTTCTCTCCCCTGCTAGCTGACAAGGCAGAGGTGGAAAACTTTCTTCTATATGAATTTCTATGGACAGATAGCACTGGAAATGCTCTTGTTCCAGTAGATGATGTTTCTGTGTGACACTTTTCTGTTCCATCCCTGTTCCTGTTCTCATTCCACTTTAGACATCTCTGGGACCAGCGCACTGAAGGCTTTTGTTAATGATGCTTTTGACAGTCCAGACTGTTTTAAGTGGGGACAAGATTCTAGTCTGTATTCTAAAATATAAATCAAGTGTAAACCAAACATTAAGGCTCAAGATGGAACTCTTCAGGGCCTTTTCTATTACATGTCAGTTGTCCTGCTTATGTTGAAAGCACTGTATCTAGTCAGTAAAGCTGACAGAAATCACAGTTTCATTCAGATGCTCTGGGGGAAGTTTAACTGCAAATGTCAGAAGTCAGATTGATAGTCTGAAAGGTCTGCTGAGAGAAGGAAAAGCGCTGTTTCTTCTTTCTTCCAGCAGAGAATTGGCGATTTGGAGTAGTGTAATTAAAATGTAACAGCTGAGTAGTATGGTACAAATGTCATGGACTGATGAATAAAAGATTCTTGGGCTGGTTATAAGAAGAACTTTAAACTAGTACTAAACATGTATTAAGTTAAATATGTTGACTATAACAGGACTGCTTTCATAATATGCTAGGATCTTGGTGTCTTCCCCAGGCTTTGACTATGGGGAGTACATCCTTTTTGATGCATGATCAGTAGGATGTCTTATCATTTGGCTTGGAAATTTTATCAGATCATTCACGAACACTTATGGATTGGTGCATTTGAAAATAATCAGGATGGAAGAAGAGGAAAAACTGTTAGCATATGTTCGAAATAATAGAGATTAAATACATACAGAATTGGAGAAATGGAAAGAGAAATGTAAGAAAGAAAGGCTAGATGGAACAAGACGGTTGGAAGTTCAGGTATACTTTTAAAAGAGACTGTGCAAAACGTGTTTTTTTTCTGTTAATAAGTTAACTCTAATAAAATCTCTATTAAAAAGTGTCTTTTAAAATAAGGCTTTTCCAAAAACATACAGTGCATATTGAGCACTGCCCAGATGATTAATTACAAAACATATTGATTTTAATTAATTATGGAGTGCATGGCCGTGTAAATGTTTTGCGTCCTGATGAATAAGCTTGCATTGTTTTGTTTTTTGTTTTTCCCTTCCTGATTTTCCTAAGAAGCATTTGAATAGCATTCTGCTTAGATATGATATGTTCTTTCATTGTTAGCTGACATTGTTTGTTCAAAGGTTTTGTGTCACTGGAGCACTTATAGAATGGTTCCCAGAAATTCAAAATACTTCTCATGTTCTGTGGTATTATTTCTGCTTTTGTTACACACAGAAGCAAAATACTTATTATTTTCCAGGACATTATCCAAACCATGTGAACATCAGTGTGCAGTTCATATCTTTAGGATATGCTGGGGAAAAAAAGAAGTGTTTTCCTTTAGGTGAAATGCATATGTCTCATTCTTTTTTATTCTAGACACCTCTGATGAGGAATCTTTTTGATAAAGTTCTTAAAGACAGTGAAATACCATGCCTTTTACACAAATGTAGTAGAACTCATATCTTACAGATTTATTCCAGTTTCCATTAAGATATTGGATATTTTTTCTTTCTTCATGAAATTTGAAGAAAAAAAGTAGAGTACTATGCTAGTTAGATGGGCAAGACTTTTTGATATAAGAACTGGGTTTAAGATAATCCTTTACCATCTTAGTTTCTTAAGTGTTATTTGGGGTCAGAGGTGCTCTTGGTTTTGTTTTGGTCTGTTGAAAGAACACGGTCTAAGAATCATTAAAATATATTTTGCAATTATTACAAAAGTTTCTTAATACTAGTGACCTACCTTTTATTTTCCAGTTTTCTGTAAGAGAAGCAGTTTCTTGTTATTTATGTCTTAATTGTGTTCAATACTTCCTAATTTCATCTTTTTCTACATTTCTCATGGTGTCTTTATAATACAAGTTTGTCGGAAAGTTACTTTTTCCTGTATCACCTCTGTTAGTCTATAAGAACAACAGTTATGAGTATAATTTACAGTGTGTAAAAATATGAGATGAGAATATGGGATTCATGTGGAGAAAAGTTCCTGCTGTTAAATTGAATCTTTGCACAGTTGGCCCAGAAATAGCCTTGTTGGCTGTTTGAGGAATTCCATTAAATTTCCAGATGTTGTTCTTGATGGTGAAAGTAGTGGTATCTGGGCCTTGCCTCATGAAAAAAAGGTGAACTCAGTCTTCATGCCAGCTGCAAAAGGAACAAGTTTCTGTAGAATGGACTTCCTTTTCTGCACATTCAGTGAGAGGAGCACTTGCATTAAACTAGGTTCCTCTTCCATGATTTCCCATCATGAGTGTATTTTTCTTCTTGTCAGAGGTTTGACTTTTCTCTACTATATATGCCACCTTTTTGGTATTGTAGTGACTAGTTTGTTATTAGCTTTTGTTTGCAAGTTCACGATTGTGATTATTTCTGAACAGTGCACTAATTTTGTTGCGCGGTGAATGAAAGTTGGTGATAGAAGAGACAACTTTATTTTCATTTTTTGACCAAAGGTGTCATGTTCAGTGGAGCTGCTTCCACTGCAAAAAGATGCCTGAGTGCTGTGTTGCACTGTAGTTTGATTTTTGTTTGTTTGTTTCCTTTTCCTAATAAGGATTTATGTCTTATATAGATTGGCTCATGCACAGTTGCTGTTTCTTACCTGTTTGTATGAACTGTAATATCTAAAAATTCTTCTATCTTTCTTTTTTCCTTTAGATGCTAAAGGAATTCCTTTCTATCCATAGAACTTTATCATCTAGTATGATTTATTAAGCATCCTTTTGGTGCTTTTTTCCCCTTGTCATTGAAATGGAACTGTGTTTATGATAAGCTGGATTGCCTAAGCACATTTTTCATTACACTGATGTTGATGGGGATCTCTGTTTCAGGCCTCTTATTTCATTCCGTGCATTTATTGATTTTGATTTTATTACACCATGTAATATCCTATTCAGATTATCTCAAGCCAATGGAAAGTGGTAACATCCTTATTTTGGAAAATAAATCCTGTTAATTCTCTTTCACTCATGCTATGAGGTTTTGTAATATGTTGAGGATAAGTATTTTTAATACTCTTTATATTTCTGTTTTCTTAAAGGTCACAAAGACAGAACTAGAGAAACTAAAATCTAGCTATAGACAACTAATAAAAGAAGTAAATTCTGCCAAAGAAAAGTATAAAGAAGCTGTGGCTAAAGGTATGACTGACTTGTGTTAATTTCATCTATTTTACTAGTGCCTTTTTCAAATCTACTAAAACTCTTACAGTGAAACAGGGTAATGTTTTTATTTGGGCAACTCAATTACAATATAAAAGTTCATTTAGTATCTTAATTAAGACAGGATAATTGTCATCATGTGTACTTGGTGATACTCTTTTTAAAAATAAAATAAAGGTTATCCCTTCTTTTAATATAAATTGTAATCATTTTAAGTGTTTCAATTATTCCTTCAGTGGATGTGTTTGAAATGTAAAATTGCTCAAATGAACTGGTAATAGTGGTAAGTGGGTTGCAATGGTGTCTCATCTCCATTGTAGATTCAGCGTACTTGCATCCTGTGACCTATTATGGTTGCTGCAGTGACATCAGCATCAGTTAGTTTAGGGGACCTGACCTTTGTCAACCTTAAGCAGAAGAGGAAAAGAATTCATTTGCACACCGAGATGTTTTAAAGATTTTTGGTGAATGATGTGTGATTCCTGTTGAATTATGCTAATGATTATGTAAAGGAGAGCCTTTGTTCTATGGTGTATTGAAATATTAATAATTGTTCTTAGGTGCATTTCTAAGATTTGTTTCTTTCTTTAGAGAAATTTAATTGGATGACAGTATATAAATACGATTCCAAGATCCATCTTTAGGTTTTTGTATGACTGCCTAAAATAAGAGTTATTTTCCTTGGTTCTGGTGGTACTATAATTCAAAGAGCAATATAGTAGCTATCAGTGCCGAGAGAAAGATTTTTTCTTTCCAAATTTGTCTAAAACGTGGAGTGGTAGCTGACATGTGAATATAATGATAAAACAGCATGGAATAAAAGATGTTATACTTAGCACTGTTTAGCTTCAGCTTTTTTTTTTTCCTTTTATGGATGTCCGTATCACTTGAAAATATAAATACATACTCAGTTGTTAATTTCTTCCCGTTCCCTAGCTGTTTTCTACATATAACTTTAATTTGGTTGCTTGGTTTATCCCCACGTAACTACTTACCATGGGAATGTACAGTATATAATATGGAAAATGTAATAGGGTGCTGTGATCTTAGTATGTTCTTTTATCCCATCTTCCTGTTACAGCTCTGATCATTCTCTGTTCCTGAAGCACCAAACTTTCCCATGGAAATCAAAGAGTGTTTTGACTGTCTTCAGCTGTGATGTTTTGATGTGGTTCTGATTAACTGAGTTAATATTTCTTTATATAGACAGCACACAAAAACTGTTTTTAAGACACTTATTTCTCCTGTGTGTATTTCCTTGACTTCTCTTTCAGGCTTCCATTTAGCATTTGTCTCATTACAATTCATACTTAATTTCACTTTCCCTAACATCTTAGTGTAAATCTGTTTTAACAAACACGGACATCCACAAGAATGTTGCAGGTTTTTCTCCCCAAAATTGCAGGATCGCTTCTTCCGTGTTGCTCCCCGGGCTGTGTTCTTGTTTACTAATATTTGTATGTCAACTGCAGGTCACCCGAGCTGTTTGTATTTTATTAATCCATGTTTTTTTCACAGGGTTTCTGAGACCTCAAGTTGTCAAACTGGTTTGTGAAGTGAACAGATTAGGGAAGTCAATCGTAATGCTTCATTATTCAAGGTGTTAGCTCAGTAACTAGTGCTTATTCAAACTGTATGCTATTAGGAAATACAATTCTTGTTAATACACAAACTGGTTCAGTTTTTCAGATTTCAAGAATTACTGAAAATGAAGGAACAGTGCCTACCAGAACAGTGAGAGGGCATAACCAAGTGTTGGAAATAAGCTGAAGAATATTTTGTTAAATAAAAAAATGAAAATCTTTGGGCACCAGGTCTTGCAAGAAATGTGTTAAAAGAACCAGTCCAGGTCCATTTCTGTAAAATGCTGTTCTCAACAGATTCTGTTCCTCTGGCAAACCAAGTCTCTGTCACAGTGCCTGGCCCTGCCTTTCTAGAGTTGTAGAGGACAGCTATTCCTTAGGACATACTACTTTGTCTTTGCCCCTGGGCTTGCACATGATGATGTGTCATACTTTCCGCCAGCTAACATGACAGTCACTTTGAATCAACATGTTGGATGCTGTAATGCAAGGTTGCAGCTGTTTTCACTTTTGGATGAAAACACTGAGAGGACCTGTGGGAAGAGTAATAACAATAAGGGTTAAGCACTGAATAACGACACTGGTTAGTTACAGGTTTTGTTTGTGTTAGTGCAATGGGAAGGCAGCTGGTAGGAATTTTTGGATAGTTTCATAGGAAAAGGGCACTGCTTTCTGAAGGATGCAGGAGCTTCATTATGGAAGGCTTTGTGCTCTCCAGACCTGGAGAATGATGAAAATGACTGAGATGCTGGCTCAGGAGCTGTTCTGGGGAACCTTCTGCTAGCACTGCTTCTGCTTGGGCATCAGGGAAGTAGTTGTACAGTTGTGTTGCAGAGGGTGCACCACTGAGCCTTGGCTGCCACTTGGTCCTTAGGCTGGGTTGCACTGCTCTGTTGTGGCCACCAGTGTCTGCGTGCTGTTTCAATCAGAATTGATTGGTTTGTCTTGTTTATTCTAGCCCTTACCCAATTTAGTCATGCATTGCTGCTCATTTCTGGACTGATGATTACCATGGGAATCACAAATGCAGCCTGGTTGGTTGTTCTTAGGCATGGAGACCTCAGGTGTCAGGCACTTTAATTGGTGTTACTTAGTTGGTTGATAGTTTTTTGCTTTTTTTTCAGTCCTTAATTCTTATGTTTGTTTAATGTATGGTGAGGGAAAGCAAGCTGAGAGGGGATAAAGCCAGCAGGTTCAGTGCTTCTCTAATGTGGCATACTTAAGCAACTGGGACAACGGACAGATTGATTCCGTTAGTCTCTTCTGGATTGGAAAGCTTTGTTTAAAAAAAAAGAAAAAAGTGTGTACTGGGAATGCACAGCATGTTCCTTTGCAGAATTGCGGCATTAGGGAATGTTGGGGTCATAGGGCATGCTGGAGTCATTGGAGAAGAATATGAGATAAGAACTTACTCAATTGTTTTTCCATAATGAAATGGACAACCCTCTGAAATCTTTAGGATGTGTGATATTGAGAAAAAATGGTGTAAACTTACAACAGTGGTCCAAAATAACACTAATAGATTGTGTACAACTCTGAGCCTACAATGCTGTGCTGATGTCCGTGATGCTGAGTAACAAGGGAAATAGTGTGGCATGTTGATGTTGCTGCTGCAGGAAAACACATCAAAATAAAATTTATGCCAAATGATAAGGACATTGTTTGGCTAAAGAAGAAGTCACAAACCTTCTAAAAAGTTTCTTAAATAATGGGTAAAGAATACAAAATGGAAACCTTTGCTTCCACTTAAGTTTGCTGTTTCCACAATTACTTTTGTTTCTGCAGAATTGTGCATCTTTAAATGTAGTTCAGAGTGTGTCTGGGGGTTTCTAATGTTTTCATCCATGATTTTTTTTGACCAAACACTATGTACTGCGATATAAAAGAAAAATAAGGAAATGATGAGTACATGAAATCATAAAGAATAATTTGCTCTTTTCCTTACATTAAAAAAAAAAAAAAGAAAAGCATGAATTCTTAACAATTTAGCATCTATTTTTGTAGCTGATTTTGGTGTTAGATGTTTAAATGTGAAATAGTTGCTCTTATATCAGTTAATATTGCAAGGTGGAATGGAGCCAGTATAGCTTTGGGAGGTTCATACTGGATTTTAATACAATATAATCTTTAGCAAAATATACAGTTTTCATGTAAATACAGCCATTACAGGTGTTTATTGTTCTTCTTACCAGTTAATTACTATGTTGCAACATTCTTATGTGACAGAATGGATCTGAAGTAAAGGAAAAATATATTGATTCTAAGTATTTAATTTCCTAATTTCATTTTATGCAGCTGCAGCAGCATAAAAAAATACTGTGCCAGACTTCCCTAGGTTGACTTGTGTTCTCTGACAATGTTGTGATTTAGAGGAGACTAGAGATATTAACAGTACACCTAGCACATTATACAACATTGCATCTGCTGGAAGAATGTTTTCTGATCCCTGCAACTCCTGTGGTTTAATGCTTCAGAATTGATGTGACTTCTGTGATACGTACTGAAGTTGCATGACAGCATAAGCTACATCTATGATAAATAATGAAGCTGTTAAAAAAGTTTTCATTAAATCAAATTATTGTCCTACTATTCTTTGTAATAGCTGAGTGGCCAGAAAATACTTTTATTAGGTGGCTGGTGCATTCATGCTGAGATGCCAGTAAAATTGTGATTATACTACTACATTTCCTGGTGGCATGTGTTGCCTTTAGTTGTTGCTGAGATCAGGGAAACTCCTAGTAGGGTATTTTTTGAGTTTATTTTTGACTGAAACTCTCATATTGTTAAGACAAAACACATAACACTGGCTGAACTAGTCTGTCTTACTGTCATCAGCAGGCTGGATGGATTTCAAATGAATACCCTGTTGTAAGTGTTTCAACTCATAGACACTACCCGTGCTTGCAAGGGCTAGGGTTGTTTCCTGTGTGTAAAATAAAGCTTATAGAGCAGGAAACCCTCAGGAGCCCAGAGATCTTGGTGACTTCTTGTGGAGTGTGGGACCAGCTTGGGCATATTGTTTTCACTTAACATGGACATGCAGCCCCAGGATGTGCTCTCCTCAATCCTCATAGACCAGCGCTCATAGGTTTGAGAGAATTTAGTAGTGGTGCTTACTAGCTCAAAAATCTGACAGCAGTTCAAAAGATTGCACTTTAATTTTTGCTAGTTTTATACTATGTTATTTGTTTATCTTAACATTAAGCAGAGAACTTTATTGAACTAATTCTTAACTCAGAACTTTAGATCTGGTATTCTGTAAATTTGAAATCTGTAAGTATATACAAATATATATACAAAACTAGTTGTTATTTTCAGTCATTAATTTGTTTAATAAGGTTTGGGGAAAACTTCTTACCCTCTTCTCAGAAGTAGGTTGAATGGAGGAGAGTGTGG